CTCTTATTTTGCGCCTCTTTGACAGGACGTAACTTATCCAGAGTCTCACGACGGGCGTGTGCACGTTTTATTTGCCCTCTTGGCTCTCTGCGCCGTGCACACAGCTGGCGCCCCACGTGTTTTACCCTCCTGTGTTGGGGACAAACCGTTCCTAACGTGGAGTTAGATCCTCTCAAGCGCTGACTGTAGAGGGCAGCCCCTTCAGCACCACGGCGGCGGCCCGAGGCATTGCGCACGTGGGGCCCGGTCTCGGGGTCCCGGGTCCCCGGTCCCCGCCCGCCCCGGCCCCCAGCGCCCCCGACATCGTCCTCCGCCCTCACTCACCTGCCGCTGCCGGCTGCGCCCTCGGCCGCGCGGGCTCCCGCGGAGGAAGAACGCCGCGGCCCCGAGCCCGGCAGGCTGCGCAGGCGCCCAGCCCCGCCGCCGACCCGACCGGAGGCGGGCGCACCGGAAGCGCCGAGAGGAGGCGGGGCCGCGCCGGGGCCAGACCGGGGTCCCTGGAGTTCCCGGGGGGCGCGAGGCAGTGCCAGACCAGATTAGAGACAGAGACGCAGTCCGCACTCGAGCAATAGTACCGAAAGCCATCGAGGCCTCAGTTCAGACGGGCGGTCCCCGCGTGACAGCACGCAGCTAATGGTCACCGGGGCGGAGGTAGGAGAGGCGGCCGCGGCCGCTTGCAGGGGGCGCTGCGAGGAGCGAGTCTCGGGGAGTCGGCCGGGAGCCCAGTCAGGTCACAGGCCGCCGGAGTGCGACAGACACCCTCTCCGGAGCCCTCAGGCGTTGCTCCGGGTCTGTCCGTATCTCCCTTTCATAGTCTCAAGGGCAGATAACTCCACTGGGAAGGTGAAGAAGCGAAAATCAGTTTTAGAAGACAAGTTGCATTTAAAGGCATAAACGCTGGTATTCCCAAGACAGAGATGCTAACGGGTAGGAAGGAGTGGGTCAGAAAACAGTCTACTGAACGGTACCACTCGGGGTGTCCCTCATTGAGTTGGCAAGAAAACCCTCGTGGCTCACCCAGTTGGGCAGTTCCCCCAGCGAGCCAAAGTTTCAGTAAACCATTGCTGCGTAACGACCTGCCTCAAACGTTAGTGGCTGAAACAACAATTTATGATTTTTAACATCGAAATGCGCAAGTTAGGTATTCCTCTGCCGGTTTCACCTGGGCTTCCTCATGGGGCTTCATTCAGCAAGGGCGGGCTGAGCTGGGAGGTCCAGGATGGCCTCATTCGGGCTCTTGGCGGTTGGCGCGGGCTGGCAGCGGGGGCAGCTCAGTTGAGGCCTAGCCTTGGAAGTAGCACTCCCGCCACCTTATATTGGCCAAAGCACTAACGGACCCACCTCTCTGAGAGGAGCCCAGAGAATCTGTGGTCATCTTTTCCATCTTCCACAAAAATCCATTTCTCCTTCAGTTAGAATAGAAATCACCAAGACTTGCATCCAGTGGTCACAATTTGGTGGTGATGACGACGTCAATGACCAGGGCTCCACCTAAAGCTACAATAAAGCTACCATGGCTCCTCATTTATTATTATCCTTTTGACTGAAGTCACTCTGAGGTAGTTTATCTTGTACTATGCAAGTGGGAATGGATTCTGTTTGTAGTTAGTCCCAATAGGGATTTTTCTAGTTGTCATTAAAAACAGCCACACGATACTGTTGCCCTCTGCTTATACGACATCCTTCTAAATGCCATTTCTCAGAAATCTGAGATGGTTACAGTTTTCCACCCCTCATTTGCTACTGAGGTGCTTTTTGAGAACCCCATTCCCTCCTCCCTGCTCGGACACTTCTGTCCTTTGGTTGTTCTTACTCCTCTCCTACCTACTTCTTTAGTTTCTCCACCGGAACCTTCTTCCATTTCCACTTGAACATGAACTCCATCCCATCTTAACAATCCTCCAGTGACCTCACCTCTCTTTCCACCTTTCATCCTAACCCCTGTGAGAGCTGAGCTTTTTCAAGGAGTTCTACACATCCAGTATCCACTTCCTCACTTCCCATTCATTTTCAACCTATCCAATGTGGCTTCAGTCCCCCTTATTCCATGAAAAGTGCTTTTTGGGGGAATGGGCGAAGTGAGTGCAGGTGGTCAAGACGTAAAAACTTGTAGTTCTGAGATAAGTCCTGAGGCTATACTGTACCTCATGATGACTATAGTTAACCATACGTATTGTATATGTGAAAGTTGCTAAGAAAGTGGATCTTAAAAGTTCTCATCACAAGAAAAAAAATTTGTAACTATATGTGGTGATGGATGTTAACTTTTTGTGGTAATCATTTTGTAATACCTACATATATAAAACCATTATGTTGTACACCTAAAACTAATACAGTGTCATATGTCAATTATCTCTTAACTAAAAAATAAAAAAATTAAAAATTAAATAAAATCCTTTTGATCATTCAAAAAATATTCAGGAGTGATGGGTTATGTCAGGTATTTACTCTCACATGGTTGGGAGAGAGGGAAAGGTCTTTGTACTATACTTGAAACTTTTCTGTAAATTTGAGATTGTTTCAAAATAAAAGGAAAATAATGCCTGTTAGATGTCTGGTATTGTAATAAAGACTGTAAGTGCCCCACCCAGGTCTCCTTTACTCTTAATCCATGCATCTGTTCTCCAGCTGCTGTGAGTGTAGGATCTGTTGTGCCCAGAAACACCTGAGCGATTCACGCTACCTCCCTACCTCCTAGCCTTCCACTTTGGCTTGGTGGTGGCAACCAATGTCTGACTGGCAAGGGAGTACAATAATCCCAGCCCTTGCCTCAAAGTGGGACAATGGGTCAACTTTCCTCCAGAGCACCCTGTGGATCAGGCAGGCCAAGAATTTATCTGAGCCCCCATCCTTAAGTGACTCCTTCTGCTTCACTATCTTGCTTCCCTCATTCCTTACAGGCTTTTCCTAAAGAGCACACTCTCAAAAATCATGCGCACCTGAATCCCTGTCTCAGGCAGCTTCTAGGGAATCTCAACTAAGAGAGTCACACACCAGCTCAATAAATGATAGCTATTATTATTAGCATCAATGACAAAACTATTAGATGCAATACCAATGTATGTATTATAGGACTAAATACCCTTATTTTATGAATACGTTAAATTTATAGGCTCCTAGAAACCTTATTTCTGCTGAACTATATTATGAGAAATTTACTTTCTTATCAGAAACAACAGAACTTTGAGAAGTGCTCACTTTAGGATTCCACTTGTAGACTTCTCCCAAAAAAGAAAAACCTAAATGAGGCTGTTGTCCTGATTAAACTTGTTCCATTCCACCCCTTCCAGGAAGTCTTTGTGGACCCAACTATCTCTTAGAATGGATTTGGGGATTCCAATTTTCTGATGTCTTAGCAGCAACGGTTCTCAATGAGGGTAATTAACGTTTGCATTTTTCAGTGTCTCAGTGACTGGGGTGTGCTACTACTTTTCACATCCTGCAATGGATGGGGCATCACACACACAACTTTCAAATGTTCTATTGGACTTTCATGGAAGTGAAAAACCAGTCTGTAAATATCCAAGCCAATCCTCTATCAAAAGAAGTGGTTTTACTAAGGTCACTAGTGACATTCATGTTGTTAGATCCAATGGACCTTTCAGTCCTCACCTAAACTTTCACTTGACTACCTCCACCTTTAAGACTCCTGTGGGCAACCTGGACACTACCGTCTTGGTTTTCCACCAGCCTCACTGCCAACTCCTCAGCCCCCTTTGCCAGCTCCCCCAGCGCTGACCAGCTCCTAAATGTTGGAATTCCTCAGGACTTTATCTCACATTATACATTTGCCTTAAGCAACCTCATTCATTTCCATGGTTTATATACCATTTCTGTGTACAACTTCAAAATTTATATATTTAGTTCCATACATACAACTGTCTACAACTTGCCTTGGAAACCTGGCATGTCCAAAACCCATGCTCCTGAGCTCACTCTTTTCCCCACGTATCACTACCAATCATAATATCAAGCATCCCACCACAAACATAAGAAGTATGTCTGATAAAAGAATTACCTCCATGCATCTAGCGTTTTTTGCTAGAAACCCTTCCTATTTCCTCACTTCCCATTTTCAAACCGTCACTATGCCCTGCCAAACTTCACCTGGACTCTATCCCCTTTTCCACACTTGGACCATCACCATCATCTCACTTGGACATCTGTGTCACTGCAAAAGCTATAAATGCCATGTCCTCAGAGAAGCCTTCCTAGTTCCCACAATTAAAACTCAAGTTTATGTGTTATGTCTCCTCTTCTGTCTCTCTGAACATTTTACATTTTCTTCATGGCATATCACAATTTGTATCTTATATAATTACGGTCTGATGTTCTATCTTTCCTGGCAGACAGACAGTAAGCACTATGAAGGCGGTGGCTCTTTTATTCCCCACTATATCCCCAGCACCAAGCACAGTGCCAGGCTAGGTGAACAAATGAATGATTTGTGTATTTTCTCTCTCCCAAAGAATTATGTTCTGTAAATAATAAAAAGCATTGTCTTATTGGCTAATGTCCCATTCAACAATTTTTTTTACTCTAGACTCGATATTCTCTACATATATATTACATTTGTTTGGAGTTTGTGTGTGTGTGTGTGTGTGTGTGTGTGTGAGGAATATTGGCCCTGAGCTAACACCTGTTGCAATCTTCCTCTTTTTTGCTTGAGGAAGACTGTCCCTGAGCTAACATCTAGGCCAATCTTCCTCTATTTTATGTAGGATGCCACCACAGCATGGCTTGATGAGTGGTGCCAGGTCTGTACCTAAGATCCAAACCTGTGAACCCTGGGCCTCTGCCGAAGTGGAGTGCACAAACTTAACCACTATGCCACCAGGCCAGCCCCTTGGATTTATAAAATATTGCTTCCCCTAAAAGAAAATGCCTTTTCCTCTTTGTTTTTATGAACATTGAGGAGATTACTCAGTTGGGCATTAGAGATAGTCATTAAATATTAAAGTACAGGAAAATGTTCAAAACATACATAATATAGTTACAGAACACTACAGACACAAAATGGTTTTAATTTCATCTAACATTACTTGGGACAATACTGCTGTTTCAAATTACTAGATGTTTCAATATGAACGGCAGACTGATATATCTATAAAACAAGAATTTTTTAACACTAGACTGTTTTCTTAATTAGCGGTGGTATAAAATGTTAGCATCTGCAAGATAAACTATTACACTTGGAAATAGCTATTTTGTAACTCTGAAATGAATTCAGTGTAGGAGAAAAAAACAGTTTTAAAAGGATGATTTAAAATGTGAAATGCTTCCCAAGGTATGTGATTGACTGGTCTTTGGCAGAGTTTATCTGCACTCATCTTTTACAGAACAGAAATGTAAAAATGCAGGAAGATAAAGTAGCCTAAAGCAAAGTCCCAAACTGGAAATCTAACATACAAAAGGAGTACACCAGAAATAGTGTGAAATACTGATGTCAAACTGTCTGGGCCCTGTTTTTTGATCACTTGTTAAAGAAATATAATTAAAATGTTTTGGTGCCATTTAAATACTGTTACTCAAAAATTTTGATTTTTGACAAAGATAGAATGTAATACCAGAGAAATCTGCTTTGAATTTTGGAAAGCTTTTTCTCCCTAAAGCAACGTTTTTTTTTAATTTGTATCATCAAAAAATGCAGTCTAAGGTGATTCATAAATAGTGAAAAATAAGCAGTCGTCTTCCTTCATTTTGTTAGGATTTCCTAACACGGTTAAGTTCTCATTCAGCTGCCCTCTTAGTCAAAAGCAAGTTTTGGGTTCTTTGATAATATGTACAAATAACTTCATTCCACATCTGTCATTTCTATCCCATCACTTTCTTTAACATACACCACTGGACCCAAGGCTTTCTCTGAAAGAGATTCTGTGCCAGTCTCTTTACTTCTTGCAAAGTTTTCTTGGTTTCTGTCTTCTAATCTTATTTTCTTGGTGTTTTGAAATAACTGAGTCACTGGTTCCAACTTGCTTTTCTCGGCCCCATGCATTAAGTGATCATCCACTTTCGAATCCATACGCATAGCAGATACCTGAGTAGCAGATTTACTAAGAGAAAATCCCATTGAGACAGCTGAATAAATACAGTTTACAGGTACCTCTTTAAGTAGTGGAAACGTTTCTTCAACTTGATTGCTTGGGGGAAAAAAATGGTAATAAGTGAATACAGTGGGAATTTCAACTAACTTCATGGCAATATTTGTTTTACTGAAATTTCATGGTGATGATGCCAAAAATGTAAAGTAAAAGCGCCTTCCATCTCTTAGTGTTTACATTTTCTTTGTGGGAGGGTCTGCAGATTCTAAGGATTTCTTTGAAAGTCTTTTTTTTAAAAGATTTTACGTTTCATCACTTTTCAGAAAATAAAAGAACTTCTCAGTCCTTTCTATCATGCTTGTTATCAAAAACTTTTAATTCACTATTAATGGATTAAAGAAATAATTACTGAAGACCAAACACTCTGCTAGGTAGTCTGCAAAAAATTAAGAAGCTTCCCAAATTGTAAACATTTACCAACTAACAACACACCATCAAATTCATAGTATGAAGCAAAAAACTGACAGAATTGAAGGGAAAAATAGACAGTTCTACAATAATAGTTGGAGACTTCAATACTCAACTCTCTATAATGGATTGAACAATCAGACAGAAGATAAGTACGGAAATAGAAGACTTAAATAACAAATTCAACCAACAACATCTAACAGACATACACAGAACACTCTACCCAACAACAACAGCATAGACATTCTTCTCAAGTGCACACGTGACATTCTCCAGGAGAGACCATACGTTACACTACAAATTAAGTCTCAACAGATTTGAAAAGATAGATATCACAGAAAATATCTTCTCTGACCACAGTTGGATGAAGTTAGAAATCAATAATAGAAAACAGAAAATTCACAAATTTGTGGAAATTAAACCACACACTCAAACAACCAAGGGATCAAAGAAATCACAAGGGAAATTAGACAATACTTAGAGATGAATGTAAACAGAAACACAGCATACTAAAATTTATGGAATGCAGCAAAATCAGTGCTAAGGGGAAAATTCATAGCTATAAACACTTACATGCAACAAGAAAGATCTCAAATCAACAACCTAACTTTACAACATAAGGAACTAGAAAATAAGAAGAAACAAAACCCATGGTTAGCAGAAGGAAGGAAATAATAAAGATTAGAGCAGAGACAAATGAAATAGAGAATAGAAAAACAATAGAGAAAAATCAATGAAACCAAAAGCACTTCTTTGAAAAGATCAATAAAATTGACAAACCTTTAGCTAGATGGACTAAAAAAAAGAAGATTCAAGTTACTAAAATCAGAAAGTGGGGACACTACTACCAATTCTACAGAAACAAAAAGGATTATAAGAGAGTGCTATGAACAACTGTATGTCAACATATTGGATATCCTAGCTGAAATGGACAACTTCCTAGAAACATAAAACCTACCAAGACTAAGTCATGAAGAAACAGAAAAACTGAATAGACCTATGACTAGTAAGGAGATTGAATTAGTAATCAAAAGTCTCTCAACAAAAAAAGCCCTGGACTCAATGGCTTCACTAACGAATTCTACAAAACATTTAAAGACAACTAATACCAATCTTTCTCAAACTTTTCCAAAAAACTGAAGAGGAGGGAACACTTCCTAACTCATTCTATGAGGCCAGCATTACCCTGACACCAAAGCCAGGCAAAAACATTACAAGAAAAGAAAATTACAGACCAATATTCCTATGAACACTGACAGAAAAATCTTCAATGAAATACTAGCAAACTGAATTGGGCAGCATATTAAAAGGATTATACACCATGACCAAGTGGGATTTATTCCTGGAATGCAAGAATGGTTTAACATATGAAAATTGACCAACGTAATACACTACATTACAGAATGAAGGAAAAGAACCACATAATCATCTCAATTGATGCAAAAAACCAGTTAACAAAATTCATCATATAAACACTCAACAAACTAGGAAATAAAAACACTCAACAAACTAGGAAAACCAGTAAACTACCTCAGTATAATAAAAGCCATATATGAAAAACCCACAGCAAACATCAGACTCAATGAAGAAAGCTTTTCTTCTAAGATCAGGAATAAGGCAAGGATGCCCACTTTTGCCACTTCCATTCAACATAGTACTGGAAGTTCTAGCCAGAGCAAAAAGAGATAAAAGACATACAAATTGGAAAGTAAGAAGTAAAATTATTTCTATTCACATTCACATATTCAAGATATGACTTTATATGTAGAAAACACTAAAGATTCCACAAAAAACCTGGTCAGTTCAATGAGTTGAGAAGAGAGTCCAGAGTTTGGGGAGGCCAAGGTGGCTAGAATTGTGGTGAGAAGAGAGAGGTGAATGAGAGAAAGAGCTCCAGAGATCTGCAGAGGATTCACCACAATTTTTTGGCTAAGTACTGATGAGGGCATGTGTGAAAAGAAACTATTGAGGCCTGGGAAAGAACCACCAAAAAGGAGAAGGCATTCTAGTCCTTAGGGCTTATACAGGGCCAGAAGCAGAGTCCCCACCAGCTGGAGTGGAAAGAACTCCTAATACGTGAGCATTGAGTAGAGTCCTCAGAAAGGTATTGGCTCAGTAACGGGGCCAAATTAACCCTACATAAAGACTATTTTGGACCTAACAGCTTAAAAGCAAGCTTCTAAAGCAGCGCTGTCCAATAGAACTTTCTGCAACGATGAAAATATTCTATATCAATTGTCCAAAACAGTAGCCACTAGCCATGTGCGGCTTGGGGAATTTGAAATGTACATAATACAAATGAGGAACTGAATTTTAGATTTTATTTAATTTTATTAACATAAATTCAAACAGCCACAAGTAGCTAGTGGTTACTATTTTTGACAGGGCAGCTCTAAAGAATCAAACATTCCAAGTAACTTTGCTGCATCTCAGAACAAAGCCTAAATATGTTTTTTTAAAAAACACCAAAACAAAAACCTCCAGCACCCAATAACGTAAACTCTGCAATGTCTGGCAGCCAACAAAAATTTACCAGGCATGAAAACAAGTAGAAAAATATGACCCATAACCTGGAGAAAAAAAGTCAGTTGATAGAAACAAACCTAGATATGACACAGATGATAGAATTAGTACACAAGGACCTTAACAGCTATTTAAAATATCTTCCTTATTTCAAGAAGGTAGAGCGAAGCATGAGCATGATGAGATGAGAAATGGAAGATATTTAAAAAAAAAATCAAACTTCCAGAGATGAAAAATATTGTGGATGAGATTAACACTACCAAAGGAAAGAATAGAGAATTTGAAAATATATCAATAGAGACTATCCAATTTAAAGAAAATGAACAGCACATCAGTTAGCTGTGGGACAATATCAAGCAGCTTAACATATGTGTAATTGGAGTCCCAGATTTTTTTTTTTGAGGGGACCAGGGAGGTGTAGGGAAAAAAAAAAAGGCAAAATAGAGGTTTTCGTAAGTGAAGCTTGTGAAATGATGGAGAAACTAAGGGAACATAAAACCCAGACCTTAGAACTGCACAGAAGTGTCTGTCACAAAGAAGAGAGCAGAGGTACTTAAAAAAGGGTTAGTTGGGGCAGGATAGAGCATTCACCACTCTTTCCGGTTCCAGAGAGGGAAGAAAATTTTCACTTTCTTGGGTTGGGGGAGGAAGTCAATAGTCCTTGGTAAGATAAGAAAGGAAAATCTTCATGGTCTGGTTTGGCCTAAGATGATGATCTTTTCCCTATATTCTTTCCAAAGAATCTTCAGTAACATCTAGACGGTATACATAAATGCTAAAACTTTTCCTGTTTTTTCCCCTAAGGGAAGTACTTTCCTATTTTCTATGTTAATAGTCTCCTCCCTCCAAGTCTTCAACTCCAGCTGAGTTTTGAAGTTTGTATACTTTTCCCTATTTCTTTTCAATAATGCTAGATAATGAGAACTTTTATTTCAAAATAATCTTCCTATCTGAAGAGGAAACGAGATTATACATAATTCTCCCTAAAATAACTTTTCAGGATGGCCTTTGAGAGCTCATGCTTTTTTGTAACTTATTTTATCAATTAAGTATAATTATATTTCAGAGGAAATGTACCTCTTGGGAATCTCTGACTTCTTTATCTAAAATAACAGGGACACTCAATTTGTTTTTAGTATCTAGCTATTCTTACAAAGTATATGATATCTAAAAGTAAATGCTACAAAATATGAGAAAATGTAATGGCACAAATAATGAAAAAAATCACAGCAGATATTCAAAAAACATATTTAAATGTACTTTTATGAAGAAATTGGTTCTAACATAAAATTTGTTTATGCCTGCCAATAATACATTTTGGGAAAAAATGAGTACTCACCTGGCAAAAACAGGACTTCTTAGTCTCTTCAAATGTGAGCTTACATTTGAAATGCACAGGCGATTACTTTATCAAGATCATCCGAGAACAGCTATAAGAAAAACCTAGTTATCTATTTCATCTGTAGGAAAAGATAGGGAGATAAAGTCACCATTAGAGTTTAGAAGCTCTGGGGTTATTTAAGAAGGGTGGGACAATTAAAAGCTAACAATTGTTAAAAAGACTACTTCTTTTCAAGGTGGGCTCCCAAAAATTGGCAGAATAATGCAATTCTCATTCTTTTTCACTACAAAACTAATTTCTCTACTTTTAGGTAAGATAGTTAATTTTAACACAGTTGGATGGCCAAAAATAATATCACATCTGGTTAAAAGTGTGTTCCCAGACTGAAGGTTCCTAATTGAGAGAAGACGAGTTTAAACGGTATTAAACAGGAAAACAACCGATATAACATTAAATATCAAGTGAGGTTGTATACTCTTTCCTTTTTACGTTAACTATCACCAGTTTTTCTGGAAAGGGGACTTGGAGAAGGATTGGCATGTGGACAAAGAATACCGGTCGGGAATCTGCGCTTTCATTGGTCGTTCTGCCACTTCCCTATTCAACCCTGCCTGGATCGTGCAGGGCTGACTGCAGCCGCGGGTCCGCAGGCTCCCCAGACTGCAGGGTGCAGGCTGCCGGCGCTCACTCGAAGAGGTCGGCTCTCTCCCCAGAGGCTGCAGCAGGACCCGACCTGCGAAGCTCCCCGCAAACCGACCCCTAGCTGCGGCAGGAGAGCGCACCAACCTCCCAGCGCCTAAAGCAGCTCTGAGGAGTAACGAGTTCACCGAACGTGGGTCCGGAATGGTGCCCGATCCCTTGGAAAAGCGACACAGCCGCGGCAGCCAAGCAGCAGGTGTTCCAGAGCCGAGGGAAGGCAGCAAGAGGAGATACAGCCCTGCGCATGCGCGTTCTATCCAGGTGTGGCAGCCCCCGGCGGGGAGTACGAAAAAAGTCTTGCAGAAGGGGGCTGGCGGCTGGTTACTAGGAGACGGGACGCTCGAGCCGGGCGACTGGGCGCTCCGTGGGCGTGCGCCTGCGCAGCGTGGATGGATCTGGAAGAGGCCTCTCCAAGGCGCCCTGTAAGGCGGGCAGGTGGTCGTACGAGTCGCTGCGTACGTGAGTGCGCGCGCACAGCTCTCAGTCCCCGCGAGAGGAAGAGTCGAGCCAGGTACGCGTGCGCACGGGGACTGGGGGCGCGCAGGACGGAAGCGGAGCGAAGGCGCCGGGGAGGTGGAGGACGAGCCCCCTCAGGTACTGAGCGTGAGGGCGGGGCCGACGGCGGCGCCGGCCGGCGCTAACCGCCTCCGCCTCCTTCCCGCCGGGTCCTGCCTTCCTCCGTCTCCACCGGGGCGGGGCCAGGTGGATTTGAGGGTGGAAAGAAAGGGGAAAGGGGCGGAGGATGATGACGGGGAGGGACCTGGATCCTAGGCTGAGGCCGAGCTCTGGCAGTCACCGGGATGAGCTCCAGGGAGGACAGCGGGCCGAGGAGTCCAGGGAGGGACCCAGAGCTCCAGGTAGAAGCAGCAGGGATGCGCCTGGTTGGGGTAAAGCAGCTCCTGGGCCAGAAGGCCTCAGAGAGGGCGGCTGCAAGAGGGCGAGTGTGGCGGGGGTTGGGAGCGGTGGGTGACCCCCGAGATGGGTATTCGGTGCTTGAGCCGGTGTGAGGGGCAGTAGCCGGCAGAGTTGCCGTCCGGAGAAGCCCTCCAGGAGCAAACTTTGCCCCTGTTGTCGTTTTTTGGGAGCTTAGGGTTGATCCCAGTTCCTATGGTGACCGCTTCGCTTCCTGCCGCAGCTCTCCGCTTGGTTGTTGGGGGGTGCTGTTCTGTTTAGAAGCGCTCTCCAGTGGAGCTGAGGAATTTGGAAGTCATAAATTTGGGAGTTCAACCTGGCTCTTCCTGACTCCCAAGCTCTCACTTCTAAGCCTCTTTGTGGACTTTGGGAGGTGAAGGGCTGAGATTACGTAGACGTTTGCATGAAAATCTCATATAATTTCAGTAGAAATTACAAACAGGAAAGGCAGGGTAAGATGGCTTCTGTTTGAAAAAATATTTGAAACTTAAATAGCTATGCGGCAATCATGGACCTGATACTTAAATACAAATAGAAATATATTTCTTTTTCTTTAAATAAAATCAAAGATCGCGGCTTCAGGAAAAGTTTCGTAGAGGACAGTGTCCCAGAGTTTTCCTACTTCCAGTCCAGGCCATTATATCTCATGATATTCGTTGTTTTAAATTTCCTCTACTGATTTTCAGCGTTTCATTTTTTTTTTTTTACCTGTAAGGAAACAAATAGAACAACCATCGGTTTATAACTAGAATGAAATAGGTTAGTTATAAATATGTGTCACGTCATTCAAATCTGCCTCGAGGATAAAACTGATTCTTGTTTGTGTTTTAGTTCATTATTGAACTAAACCCTTCAGTCTTAATTAGTAGGAAATAACTAGGAAGGTACATTAACGAAATATTTATTTTAAACAGTAAGCTTTGACATTATTTAATGGCAGCTTCCAGAATATATCTTATTTTGTTTACCTGCTGAAGAAAATCACTGATTATTGCCCAACATGTAATCAGATGTAGAGATCCTCTGGGCTCTCTTTCTGTCTTTTTCAGTTGCTTAGATCAGTTTGTCTTAGGATAATTTGCTTTTAGAGTACTCCATATACAGAGGCAGTTAGAGCAGGTGTTACTTTGCATTCCCTTTTGCAGTTACATGCCCTTTCTCTCCAGATGTAGCCACTGTTCTGACTTCTCTGATAGCCACTTTCTTGCTGGTTCACTATCTTTGTATGTAAACGCGGATATTCTAGTCTGGCTTAGTTTTGAACTTTTTATAAATGGAGTTGTACTACTTATTCTTTTGCATTTTGCTTCTTTTATTCAATGTTATGTTTTTAAGATTTATCCTTTTGTTGCTTGTAGTTAGTTTGTTGTCTAGTGTTGCACATTATACGAGTATACCACAATTTATCTACTCAACTGTTGGTGGACATTAAAGTTATTACAGTTTTTGGTAAATAGGAACAACACTCCTGTGAACTTTCTTATACATGTACCCCATGATAATCTTTTGAAGTGAGCTAGTTAGTAAGGTGATTCTGTTTGTCTTAATTATGCTGTTAACAAGTTTATATAGTACTAAACTCTTTTAGTTTAGAAAAGCCTCTTGAAAATATCTAACTTCTCATATTTCCAAGATGTCTTGATAAATGATACCTCTCCTAAGGCCATTGGATTTTTGTTTTTTTGTTTATCATTTTATTGAGGTCATATTGGCTTACAACATTGTGTAAATTTCAGGTGTACATCCTTTATTTGTTTCTATATAGACTGCATCATGTTTACCACCAACAGTCCAGTTTTTATCCGTCACCATGCATATGTGCCTCTTTACCCTCTTTGCCCTCCCCTAACCTCCTTCTCCTCTGGTAACCGCTAATCTGTTCTGCTTATCTATGTGTTTGTTTATCTTCCACATGTGAGAGAAATCATATAGTATCTGTCTTTCTCTGTCTGACTTATTTTGCTCAGCATAATACCCTCAAGATCTATCCGTGTTGCAAATGGCACAATTTTGTCTTTTTTATGGCTGAGTAATATTCTATTGTGTGTGTGTGTCTGTGTGTGTGTATATATATATACTGCATCTTCTTTATCCATTCATCCATTGATGGGCACTTGGGTGGCTTCCACATCTTGGCTATTGTGAATAATGCTGTGATGAACATAGGGGTGCATATATCTTTTTGAATTATTGATTTCATGTTCTTTGGATAAATACCCAATAGTGGAGTAGCTGGATAATATGGCATTCCTATTTTTAATTTTTTGAGAAATCTCCATACTGTTTTTCATAGTGGCTGTACCAGTTTGCATTCCCACCAGCAGTGTATGAGGGTTCCCTTTCCTCCGCAACCTCTCCAACACTTATTTCTTGTTTTATTAATTATAGCTATTCTGATGAGTGTGAGGTGATATCTCATCGTGGTTTTGATTTGCATTTCCCTAATAATTATTGATGTGGAATATCTTTGCATGTGTCTGTTAGCCATCAGAATATCTTCTTTGGAAAAATATCTGTTCATATCCTCTGCTTATTTTTTTATCAGATTGTTTATTTTTGTTGTTGTTGAGTTGTATGGATTCTTTATATGTTTTGGAAATTAACCACTTGTAGAATATATGATTTGCAAATATCGTCTCCCAGTTGGTGGGTTGTCTTTTGGTTTTGTTGATGGTTTCCTTTGCTGTGCAGAAGCTTTTTAGTCTGATGTAGTCCCATTTGTTTATTTTTTCTTTTGTTTCCCTTGCTAAGGCCATTGTTTTATGCTCCTTTAAAAAGATAAGTTACTTCTTTTCAGTCTAGGCTGGATTGAAGAGAAGTGAGGAGCTTGGGTTCAGATGGAATGACTGGAGAGATTATTTCTTTTTCATAAGAAAGGTTATACATTATGGCTTTACTGTTTTGTTTGAAGTGAACCCCCAAATCATTTATTCACTTATTTTTACTATAAATACAAAAACCTCTATCTCAGTTATTCATAAAATTTTGTGTAATTTTCTACATTCTTCTGCTAGTGAGGCTATTCCTTCCTGCTGCAGTGTCTGTCAGTCTAAACTTTTGGAGACAATTTTATAAAAAGAAAACAAAGAGACCTTTTGTGGAACCAGATTTCAGAATCTCATATAAAGTACTCCAGTATTTTCAATTATTCTATCAAATTATTCAGTAGATATTTGTTGAGAACGTAGTATATGCCTGATATTTCACTCAACACTAATGATGCTTTTTAGCACGTGATCTTACCTCCTATTTCACTGAAAAATTAAAATTTTACCAAGCAGGAACTTCTTCACATTTCTACCCCTTCATATCTAAATCTTCACCTGACCTTACTTTTCTCTTCTTTGTCTCAGAGGACAGTGCATACCCTTTACCTGGATTTCCTCTCATTAGCTCAGTGGCCTTTCTTTATTAGACCTTTCTTTAATTAGTCAATTAGTTATTAGTTAACCCATATCAGGAATCTTCTTTGTGTTTATACTGTAGGGCTTCTTAATCTGGAGTACAACAACTTTAGAGAGTTCTTGAACTCCCTGAAATTGTTTGTGAGGTTTTGTATGTATTTGTATTTTCCTGAGGAGAAGACCCAAGGCTTTTGTTGAATTCTGAAAGAGGTCATTGATGTAAAGAGAATTAAGAAACAAGTGTTTCTTGTAATGACCCTTCAACAACCTTGGTCTTCTTCCAACTTTCACCCTATCTCTCTTCTCACAATCGTGCTTCTTAAAAGAAGTCTACATTTTCTATTTTCTCTTCTTTACTACTCATTCATTTATTCTTCTTCCTCAAACCCCATCCCTACCATTGAAACTACTTTGTTCAAATCATCAAAATTCATCATTTTGAAAATGTTTTATAGAGTACCAACTTTGTGCTGGGCACTTTTCTGGGCATTCTGCATATAACAGTGACTAGACAAGAGTCTAGATCCTCTTGGAGCTTGCAATCTAGTAGGGGGAGACAGACCATAAACAAGTGAAGAAAAACATGATACAAGTGTGTTAAGAGCAAAAAACCTGATGAGAGATTGACTAGGAGAGAGGCTACTTTAAGTTAAGAGGTCACGGAAGACTGTCTGACATTTGAGCCAAAGAGCTGAGGGTAAGAAGGAGCCAGCTATGCGAAGGGCTGGGGGAGAGTGTTCCCAACCTGAAAAGCAGGGGCAGAGGCCTCGAGTTGGAATGTAATTGACTCAGCAGAGGAACAGAAAGAAAAGCAATAAAGCTGGTGGGTGCACAAAGAAGAAAGTACTATGTCTATTTAGGGAAGTGAAGACAGGGACCGAATCATGTAGGACCTTAAAAAGTTTGGATTTTATTCTAATTGTAGTGGGA